TTATACTAAAAGATTATCAGGAATATTGTTAAGAAATGGACAAACCTGAACCATCCCGAAAAGGAGAAAATATCAGTTTGATTAAAAATGAAAGTTTTCCGGAATTAATTCAAAATTTATAAAAGGATATAAAAAATATCATCCTGAAATGTGACAAGAACACCAATGAGTGTGGAAGTTCAGTTAAGTTTTAAAGAAGAAGTCACATATACAAAAGTCGCAGCTTTGCTCTGTGATACCAAAATATGCAAAATATTCTTGTTACTTTGTAAGTCCCATAACACCTTCGTCCCGTTTTAACAAGTTGGATCAATAATTCACTGTTTAAGCAAATCAAGAGGGATAATGCAATGTTTATTTCCCACATTGATGTACTTGCGACATACATAATATAGTAATGCGAATTCAAACTAGTAAGTGCCAGAGAGAATAACAAATGTTGAATATAACAGTGTTAGTAACAAGCATGTGCTGCGGCACAAAATATAATGTTAAACAGCTCCACAATTAAGACAACACTTGGTCTTTGTATCGTAGTATTAATATTTGTAATGGCTTAACATATATCACAGTAAACTCAATATACACTAGATATATTGCCGATAAACCGAGCGATCTTTTTTTCAAACTTCACACAACATTGATATCGAGTGTCATATCTCCTTGTACACCACGGTAACAGATAAGTGTATCATAAGATAAAGATTACACTGCATGATGGTAAAGTTCTTACAAAGTTCACTCATCGAAATATGAAATAATCACTCCACTTGTTTGCATTCTATGCCACCAGCAACATGTTGTCTCTGACCACGCTTATTCTACTGGCATTCATTTCTACCACATTAGCAGGTAAATATGTTCTTTTTTTTTAAATATATATATACTTATACAAATTTTCGACGATTTTGTACATATTTTTTAATCCATCGTAATGTAAGCGAAAATTACCTTTGTTTGAAATGAGTAAACACGTGGCGATTCATTATGTGGTATGGCATGTATTTATGATAACTTGATGATTCATTTTTGCTTCAAAATGTAACTTTTTAGCTGTCTAGTTGATGTATGGATAGTGTGATCATCCTAAGATTTTACTTCATGTGTGTGTTGGAATTACAAACGTCATTTCGTCTCATAACACAGATTAAAAATGAAAAATGCGCATTTTATCTTTGTACTTGGCTTGCCTCCTTTTCACAAATTGAATATAGGAATGGGGGATTGATTGACCATTGATATCGATTGGTTTATGTATATGCCTTTACCATATACACAACAGTAGTTTTTGCACAGGTTTGTAGGTAGTGCTATGTAGAACAAATAGCATCCCTGCCGATTAACGTAGATTGCCACGTAGGGTTAAAGGGGTAATTTAAAGTTGAAAGGGCGTCAAACGTATCATATCTACCATACATCACAGTCCCTCTATCTAGAGGGACTGCGCATAAATATTCACAATCATTTGAGTGTAATAGAATCTTTGAAATACAGATTTGGTTTATCTTTCGATGCATATACTTCATATGTTTAATTTATTTACCACGGCGGGTATAGATTAAAGCACAATCATAAGAAATGTTTTGCCGGATTTTTTCAGTTGTATCCCTTGCTTTTTTATTTGTCTTCAACAGTGTTCTACTTTTTAATATTATTGTATATATGATAGTGTTTTTTATTTGTGTTGCTTATTTTATTTTTATATAGACGTTGAATGCAATGACATATTGGTAAACACGACAAGACCAAGTGTATGGATAGGTAAGTTTCATAAGTCAACATGCGCATTCAGACATCTTTTGGGGTCATAATGATCAGTGGTTTTACCTTCCAGATTGTTTTACATGGTATATTTTCTTATTTAATCGATTATAATGTATGTAATATTACATTATTGCTCTGTTAACTGAACAAGCAAACATCAATGATTTCTTCCATCTAGGTTCGACAGACATACCACCATTTTTTTCTTGTCAATTTCTTAAAAGCTGTTTCCATAGATTCGACATATTATTGTCAGAAAGGACCAACAAAATGCACGTCCGTCCGATATGTCCGTCTTGAATTGATGTAACTTACTTTTCACGTGTTGGCTATTTGTTTTTCGGTCGTTCATTTAATTAACTCGGACTTGTCAATTATAAACAATTATAATTTGTAATTACCAAGCTAATGACAGAATGCAATAAATTAATCTAACTTGGTAGTATTGCCATCTTGACTGAACTATATAATTTTTGTTGCACACATTTCAGTATTCAATAATGTAAATTTCTTTGCACACGTTGTTTTGGTACGTACAATGACAATCACTGTACATACGTTTTGATTTTCCATCTAACGAGTACAGTTTTGTATCCTGCAAACATTAATAGTTCACGATTATTCATAATTGGATTTGGTCTACATGGAGCAGCGCACGACAATATTGAAACATAGCGTAACTATTACAACCTTGCCCATTTCACATCATATCAATTCACTACAATTATCTGATTGACAGATCGCGGCATATTACAGAATATATTTCATTCTCATTATCAGCAGTATAAATGTATTCATTCTGTGCATTTAATTCTACATCTAACAAATGTATGATTTCAGTCAATATTTTTTTCTCACATTTGAAAATGATCAGATAAAATTCATTTTGTATCCACAAGAAGACAACTTTAAGTGAAATTTAGTAAATAGCTTGACAAATAAACATTGAACACATACCAAAATTGAACATGGCCAAGATCCCACAAATACTACTAAATGTGTACTTCGCTCCTAACAGTGATAATATAAACTTGTTTATATTTTACCCAACAGACGATGCACCTGACTGCCATGCCACTGCGACTTATTGTGAACACTTTAGTTTGGAGTATGTTTGCAGTGCTGATATTTTGAATTCCGATACTTTCCAACTTGCTCCGCCTGAACTTCCTCCAAGGATTCCTTTCCCGACAGAATTGCCCCCTATTGAGCTACCTGACCTACCAATTATTGACCCAACTTGTAAAAACGGGACGAAGGTGTTATGCATAGCCCCACCAGCGATAATATATGACGACCCCAAACCTGTTAATGAACTCACCGTCATAGCATACAACATATACGAGATTAATTACGTCTTTGAACAGCATGGACAACGTGAATCTAGCTGCCGAAATTTTTTCCATGTTCTTGACACCACTCCAGATCTGGATGTTATCATTTTCAACGAAGTGTTTATGGGAGGATGTTTTCCTGAAGAACTTGATCTCTTAGAACTTTTGAACTACCATGGTTTTATTCACAACACCGCAACTGTTGGCCTGGATAGCTGCCAGTTCGTTGATCCGCCAAAGGTAGAGAATGGTGGTGTATTTATATCTTCTCGTTGGCCGATTTTATACGAAGAAGAATTGGTCTACGAGAGTTTTACTGATGTTGATGGGACATTCTTTTGCAAGGGTGCCATGTATGCAAAGATCGAGAAAACCATCGATGATGAGAGTCAACTGTATCATATTTTTGGAACGCATATGCAGGCATACACTGGCGAAGAGAACGATAAAGTGCGAGTGGAGCAAGCAGCAGAACTATATAACTTCATGACAACGTTCAATATCCCTGATGACGAACCAGTAATATATGGAGGAGATTTCAATGCTGATAGTTTAGCGAACATTCAAAATGCAATTGATGTATTAGATGAGTTACATGCTACCATGCCACCAAACATTGGAGAATTACAGTGGACATTAGATCGTATAGGAAATGATTTCAGACGTGATAACACAAGTTACAGAAGTTGGCTGGACTATGTTGTCTTTAGCTATGAACATGCTATTCCAGAAGAGGCAACTGTTGAAGTTCTTCGACACCGTGATGAATGGTATGATGTGTGCATGCAAGCATGGCCTCGCCGATATGTATATCCATGGGCAGATGAATGTAAAGATGTGTGGACTGTAGGTGACTTGTCAGATCATTATGCAGTCAGGGGTGTAATTCAATATTCAAGGGAAATACCGGAGACAAGCAAAGCATGTGTAAATTTTATCAGCACTTGCACTTTAATGGTAGTTATTTTATCACAACTTTTCTGAAATTTGATGGGGCCAAGTCACAAAGTTTAAAGTGGTAGCAGTAAAAATTTCTCCGGGGTTCTACAACAGTGTCAGTCACCTTCATAAAATGTCAGAAAGGCCATACAAATTCCCAAATCGTGAAAACTCATAGCAGCAAATATTTAGCTCTAATTACCTGGAAATATGCTAAGTAAAAGCAACAATTTCATCTTATTGACATGCATTACCAGAAAATGAGAAAATGGACCATTTGTGGGTTTCCGAGTCGCATGGTTATTTTTGCCCAAACAAGTATACGACACTTTGTCATCAATTTAAAATATTTACCCCAGGTTTCTCTTTGATATTGCACCAAACCTGAACTGCCATGTACAAACTTCAAACAAGCCTGCAGCATTACTGCGCATATCACATCAACTTGAAACTCATCTCTTAGACTAACTCATTATAGCAAAGATAAACACAATTTTGTTGATACAATGCATCAATTACTATTGAAAAGAACTTCATTTTTTTTAACATGTTTTTATGTGCACATATGACTCTGCAGAGGGTAGTTCAACATTACCTCCTGAAAATGCAAACACAAACTCCAGTCTGATGTAAAGTTGCATCACAGACCTTAAAGCGAGTTTGATATTAAGGTATATGGTTGTATTCACACTGTGTTATATGCAGAGCAAAAATGAAAATGCACAGAAGCTAATCTGTAATTACAGTTGTAATTATCAAATCAAACCTACTTTTCATTGTTGTAATTTTTCAAGGCCACTTTATTTGAGGAGATACTGCTAAATTCAATTTCAGAATCTATTGGATAATATTTCTCAAACCTACAAAATCAGGGATATGTGGGAGGGATTTTTACAGATCATACAAAGTGGGAATACAACTTTAATATTTTTTGCACCCAAAGAAAGAGTCAGATCAAAATTCAGGGCCCATGAGTGCCCCCATCAAAACTTTATTAACAAAAGTCAGGGTACTGTGTCTTGAAATGCAGAGTAGATATAGACGAAGACATTAAAACCATTCAGCAGCAAGTTCAAGAAGGATCTGACAATAACTGATCTTGAAAAAAGGGAAATGAAAATTGTATCACGATGATACCCATTTTCAGTGTTGAGTGGACGCTTCATTAGTCCATTGACATTGAGTCTTTGTAACAAAAAATATCATGTAGCGGGGATTGGACAGTAGACTTTGATTGATTGATACAGCTCAGTCCAATAACTTGCCAGTAACATACATTTACTGCAATATTTAGTTGCCGCAAAAAATAACCTCTTTCGATGACATGATTTTCCATGTACATTATTTATCCATCTTGGGTTTTTTGATAGTTCCAACAGCTGATATGACAGTTGTTTTTGTACCGCTTGCAGTTGTGGTGACTGTCACAACTTGAGGATTAGTAACTGTGGTTGTGACAACTGTAATAGGTGGTCTTGCTAACGCTGTCGGCACAGTTGCACTGCTTTGATCCCACTTACTTTTTCTCTTCTTCGTTCCATCATCTGAAAAATATTGAAATATTCACATGAATATGAGGTTATTACGAGGATGCCTCAAAGTTTGCGCAAAGACAGTACAGCTGGAGTATCGGCCGACACGCAGCTGAGGTCGATGCGCAACGTACTGTCTGAGTGCATACTTAAGGTATTCTCGTAATAACCTTATTATTTATACATCTTTTCCTTCCAAGGATACATCATGAGAATCAGCGAACTTCTTTGTGTGGAGTCTGGTCAAACCCGATGGCAGCCGTGTTTGTTTTTATTATTAGAGGGCGTTCGCATTTCCTTGTATGGTAGTATGAAAATACCCCATAAAATACCGCAAAATTACGACACACTGTAACTTATGGTGTTACGGTGACAGATGTATCATTATACATTAGGATTTAATGCACTCTTCTTATTCATACATTTAGTATTTGATCTAATTACTGTCTTTTCTCTCTTAGTGTTGTTGGCTCACATTACAGGTATGGCAATATCAAAATAAGCTGTATTTTAATGATCCTACAGGTACATGTAAAAGCAATAGATCATTTAATGCAATTCTATGTACATATGTACTTCTATTTGAGAAATTGAGAATGGTCACTATGAATTCGAACACATTCATTTCCATTTTTTATATTCAAACGTGAACCGATACATTAATTCATTGGTTCTAGATCACGTTAATTTCAATTTACCAACTCGCAGCCAGGCAAGCATATTAACTTTCTGAACTTGGTAAACACCTGGTGCATAACTGAACCAGTCAATCACAAGATGACCAAATGCATTCTGTGTAATGATGACATCATCAGACTGGGAAAAACAATAAAAGAACAAATTCTACAAATTCACAAGTTCCAGAGACTATCCTAGAGCTCACTGTAACTGATATCCTTAGCTGGATGCAGTTAAACAAAGCTACGCAACCCTGGAAGGCTACATGAAGCAGCAGGTTATACTATTACTATACAATGTTGGTGGAATATAGAATACACAGCTTATCAACTGACCTGTGGCAGCTGGCTGTCCAACTGCTGTACCACCAGTAGCTAGTTTCTTTGCAACTGTACCTGACACAAATTCTACTTTTGTTCTTTCTTTCATTTCCTTCCCTCTTCTCGCCATATCTTCCTTCTGTGATTTGGCTAAAAAAAATAGAAACAAAAAAATCCCAGTTAGTTAAATAAAATGGGAATAAGTCAAGCATTTTGAATCATAACATGAATGTGAAAAAACCTTGTGATCCTGTTATATATACATGTTCATTACATGTACCAAGACTGACAATAAGTTGTCCCTGTATAATCTAAGATCTGGGTTCAGAAGAGCACTAATGCTTGATTTTGTATGTTTAATCATTAAATTGGCTGCTATTTGGCCATCGATTGCTGAATTTTCAACATTAAAATCTTATCGTCAAACAAATATATGTGCACATGTGTGACATGATGCATCTATTAAGTTTGAACATGATTGCACAACTCCATTATAGCTTCTTCGTTATGCAAATTATGTATACCCCTAACTCACATATTGCGACTACAACAATGACACCACTAGTGGCATCCTGGGATGATCCAGCAGGTAGAAATACGTACAAATCGGTGAAGAACACATAGACGACATTGTGCTAAACCACATTAACAAATAATACATACCTAAAGCTTCATAGTATGATTCTTCGGTCCATCCATGAGGATCAAACATATCTTTTGGATAATTAGTACCAAACTCATCGATTCCAAGGAATGATATCAATTTTTCATATATGCTGCAAGATAGATAAAATAATACTACTGCAGGATTCATCTCATCTGATCACACAAAAAACTTGTTACATGTATTTTATTCTTTAACTTGTATTAGAATTCTCATATATTAATTGCAAGACAAGTTGCATCTCATGATGCTGAAGTTGGCCCCGGATTTGGGTTCAGATTTGGAATCATATTCATTTTCAGACTTTGGTTTGTCTGACTGAATGTATTAGCACATTGTCTTTTTCATAAACTTCATAAAATATATGGTTTTCAAAAAAAATTCAGGAGTTTGTCATATCATTTTTGCTTAGTCTATCATGGAAGCTTTCCATGATCATTTCAATGCAAAATACTAACAAAAGTGTTAATGTACACATTTCAAGACTAAGCATCCGTGTACAAAACATTAACTCAATAACCTGTTTCACCCCAGTTCTCTTTTTTTTTATCACAGATTCACAAAATAGTCCTGTTTATAGTCTGCACTTACCTTCAGATTGATTGGGACAAAATTAGCCAAATGTTTTGAGTAAAAACTGAAAATTGACACAAATTTTGTCTGCTGGCTCTAAAATTAGGATTCATTTGGGCATGAAAGTCTGGTGGTAAAAGGTTAACCCTTATCCTGGCATCTCCTTGTATTTTTACATTGATTTGGTCGGATAAAGGATTAATTATCAGCCTAATACTGTACCTTGGATTACGGAAATCTTTTCTTTTCTGGATCATGGCATTCAAATTGAAGCCTTTTTTAAAATATGTTGAAAATTTTTCCTGAAAAATCAAAACAAATGTCATGTACCGTATTATGGATCATTAGGAGACTACAACAGAATAAATATGATGATCATTTTGTCAGGAGCATAGAACTTTGATTTATAAATTCATGGGCAGCACTAAACACTTAGCATCAAATCAATCAAACAAGCAGCGATCAGGATTAGAAGTTTTTACAAAAAAAATATTTCCAAAAATTAGAGAATTGGAGATATGATCACAAAATATTCAGAGGTCCACCCAAGGAACCTATACATAGAGTATCAAAGTAACAGAGTTAACAGTTTTCAAAAAGAAGTCGGTGACAATAACGATGGGCAATCACCTATGCTAAAAGCTAAAAAAACAAACTTTTTTTGAACATTTCAGGACCAGAAACAATATTTGTTCAGCTTCATATTTACCTGTAAATGGTTTGAGCACCTTCCAGGTGGTTCTGCTGGCAACTCAATATTGTCAGTACTCAGGTGTCTCACACTTTGTGACAAGGAATCAGAATTCACTGATGCATTGTAATCAACTATTATCTGAAATATATAAAGTATAATAAATTAATATACAATACTGTACCAAATCTCTCGACCCTGAAATCAGGTTTATAATGTGTATCAAACAGGACATCAGACATACATCACAACTGGCTTACAGTCAAGACATCATATGCCATACCAGATGCAATGGACTCGCTATAAATAATTTATAATTATTATTAGACACCTTATCTTCATAAGTTACAGCGTGCTGTGATTTTAGCAGTATTGCACTGGATTATCAGCGCCATACTTTATTTGTAAATACGAATTACAAACTATAACATAATATTTCCAAGGTGGAAGATGTGTTTGAAAATAAATATCGCAGCGAGAAAGTTCAACTAAATTTTACCATGCTTTTCCAGTCCAGAGTTTCATACACAGAGTACAATGTAGTTTGATCAGAGTGATTTATACATGTAATAAGGTCATTAATAAAGATACCACAAAAGGTAACGCTGGATCCACAGTGTTGTCAGAATGTGTGTTATTCACATTGTGACATTCTGTCGCAGCATCAAGCTCAGGCAAGATTGTAGAAATATTTGTAAATCGTTGTTTGTGTACCTCATCACCAATGGGTCTTGAGTCCAATTCAGCTCCAAATGTATCCTCGTCATCTTCTTCGTCATCTTCCTGTTGTTTCGGTTCTTCATCTTCAGCAGCATACGCAACAAGACCTAGAATTACAAACAGTATGATAAATGGATACATGTAGTTCGTATTGTATTTCAGTAATGTCACAGAACGCAGTGAACAGTTAGAAAGATTTGATTGCTTGAACAGAAATAAGCAAGATATATATTCAAAAACGCTAAGTGCATGCCTTATAAATCTAAAGAAGGGACGCTATCAAAATGATCTGAAAAGAACACCAATCAACACCAACTTTCACAAGAGTCCTAATTTGCATTTTCTAGAAATTTTAGTTTGTCGTGTGATCACTCACTCACTATTTGTCTGGCTCTTCAAGGCACGGATCTAGAAGCCGTACCTACACACGAATTGGTGACGTCACAAAATACACAACCTTCAATCGGGGTCGTTTCCTCGGTATATACGAATTGGTATATACAAATTACAATAAAGATACTTAAGACATTACACATAAGGTAAAACAAATCATGTGACATTATAATGATAATAACGGTAATAAATCCTAGCTTAACAGTTGAACAGAACGATCATATAGTCAGTCGGGTCACGTTGAGGGTCACGCACTTGTTGCAAAATGGCCGTGTGGTTGAAACTGGGTCATGGCGTGACGGGCGAGGAAGACATCATTAAACACTCTCAAAATCACAATAAAACGGGGAAGTGGTTGCATATTACGGCGTAGCCAACATGGGAAAT